CAGTTTAATTATTGTTGATTGATATCAGAGGAAAAGACAGATTAAAAATAAAATGTAAGTAATAGTACACATTATGACTTACGTCCTATTATGACCAAGATAACAGTTTAATTATTGTTGATTGATATCAGAGCAAAAGACAGATTAAGAAATAAAATGTAAATAATAGTACACATTATGACTTACAATCTATTGTGTGACCAAGACAACAGTTTAATTATTGTTGATTGATATCAGAGAAAAAGACAGATTAAAAATAAAATGTAAGTAATAGTACACATTATGACTTACCAACTATTGTGTCACCAAGACAACAGTTTAATTATTGTTGATTGATATCAGAGAAAAAGACAGATTAAAAATAAAATGTAAGTAATAGTACACATTATGGCTTACTCTCTATTGTGTGACCAAGACAACAGTTTAATTATTGTTGATTGATACCAGAGAGAAAGACGGATTAAAAGATAAAATGTAAATAATAGTACACATTATGACTTACTCTCTATTGTGTGACCAAGACAACAGTTTAATTATTGTTGATTGATATCAGAGAAAAAGACAGATTAAAAATAAAATGTAAATAATAGTACACATTATGACTTACTCTCTATTGTGTGACCAAGACAACAGTTTAATTATTGTTGATTGATATCAGAGAAAAAGACAGATTAAAAATAAAATGTTAAATAATAGTACACATTATGACTTACCAACTATTGTGTCACCAAGACAACAGTTTAATTATTGTTGATTGATATCAGAGAAAAAGACAGATTAAAAATAAAATGTAAGTAATAGTACACATTATGACTTACTCTCTATTGTGTGACCAAGACAACAGTTTAATTATTGTTGATTGATACCAGAGAGAAAGACGGATTAAAAGATAAAATGTAAATAATAGTACACATTATGACTTACGTCCTATTGTGTGACCAAGACAACAGTTTAATTATTGTTGATTGATATCAGAGAAAAAGACAGATTAAAAATAAAATGTAAATAATAGTACACATTATGACTTACGTCCTATTGTGTGACCAAGACAACAGTGTAATTATTGTTGATTGATATCAGAGAAAAAGACAGATTAAAAATAAAATGTAAGTAATAGTACACATTATGACTTACGTCCTATTGTGTGACCAAGACAACAGTTTAATTATTGTTGATTGATATCAGAGAAAAAGACAGATTAAAAATAAAATGTAAGTAATAGTACACATTATGACTTACTGCCTATTGTGACCAAGATAACAGTTTAATTATTGTTGATTGATATCAGAGAAAAAGACAGATTAAAAATAAAATGTAAGTAATAGTACACATTATGACTTACAAGCTATTGTGTGACCAAGACAACAGTTTAATTATTGTTGATTGATATCAGAGAAAAAGACAGATTAAAAATAAAATGTAAGTAATAGTACACATTATGACTTACTGCCTATTGTGACCAAGATAACAGTTTAATTATTGTTGATTGATATCAGAGAAAAAGACAGATTAAAAATAAAATGTAAGTAATAGTACACATTATGACTTACTCTCTATTGTGTGACCAAGACAACAGTTTAATTATTGTTGATTGATATCAGAGAAAAAGACAGATTAAAAATAAAATGTAAATAATAGTACACATTATGACTTACGTCCTATTGTGTGACCAAGACAACAGTGTAATTATTGTTGATTGATATCAGAGAAAAAGACAGATTAAAAATAAAATGTAAGTAATAGTACACATTATGACTTACGTCCTATTGTGTGAC